GGGGCTCGATCCCAGGACCCTGGGATCATGACCTGAGCCGAAGGCAGACGCTTAACGACTGAGCCACCCAGGCGCCCCAGAGAGAAACTTTTAAAGGGAAAGAATTGTGAATGGAAATCATAAGTAATAATAAAATAATAAAATAAAGATTTGTTTTTTGACTAGAAAAAGTCATTTTTGAAAGTTTTCTTAATTGTATATTGAAGCCAGAATCCATTTTTTAAATTCTTAAGGGGCAGTCTCTTCTACTTTGCACATGAACCCTTTTATACCCAGCCTGCTATATTCAGTGTGAGTGACCTACTTAAGTCTAATGAGGAGAAGACAGTTTGAATTAGTGAAAAATGTACATGACTTGTTTGGGGGGGGGGGCAGCTTTTTGAGACATAATTCATATACTGTATGATATATAAGCTATTTTTTAATGAGATGTAATTGACATATATAAAGTTTCAAGTATACAACATGATTTGATATTTGTATATATTATAAAATGATCACAGTAAGTCTAGTTAACTTCTGTCACCACACAGTTATAATTTTTTTTCTTGTGATGAGAACTCTTAGCAACTTTCAAATATACAATACAGAATTATGAACTACAGCCACTATGCTGTAGTGATTTATTTTATTACTGGAAGTTTGTCCCTTCTGACCACCTGCACCCATCCCCCCCAATATGTTCTCTGTATCTGTGAGTAGATTAGATTCCTTTAGATTCCACATGTGATATCATACAGTATTTGTCTTTCTCTGACTTATCTCACTTGGCATAATGTCCTCAGGGTTCATCCATGTTGTCGCAGATGGCAAGATCTCATTCTTTTCTTATGGCTGAGTAACACTGCATTGTGTACATATACCACATCTTTATCCAGTCGTCAGTCGATGAGCCACTTAGGTTGCTTCCATATCTTGACTAAATAATGCTGCAGTGAACATGGAGGTGCATGTATCTCTTCAAGTTAGTGTTTTCATTTCCTGCAGATATATACTCAGAAGTGGACTTGTTGGACCATGGTAGTTTTATTTCTGATATTTTGAGGAACCTCCATACTGCTTAACATAGTACCAATTTACATTCCCACAAGCTATTTTTTAAATTAAGACAGAGTAAGGGAATGAACGGTTAATGAGACTCTTATATTATGTGCCACTTATTTTGTCCTCATATAGCTTTACAAAATAGACATCATTAGCCCTATTTTACAGGTGAGGAAACTAAAGCTGAGTGAGATTACACAACCTGTCCAAGATCATGCAGGTCATGAATGGTAACGTGCTGGGTGGTACTCTGGTTTTTCTGGGGCCAGTACCCATAGACTTTTAATTATTCCTGCCACACTGAGTTCATCTATGCCGCAGGAGGGGAAGGCCGAGCATACAGGTGCATGTGCTGCTAGAAAGGTAAATGTAGTTAGTGGAAATTTATACAAATTTGCTTCTGTTTCACATTTTTCAGTGTCACAGGAAACAAGATCATCCATCGAGTGAGAGTGAGGATAAAGGGATACATAGAGCATTTGAAGAAAAAGGGAAAGGGGTGGAATGGCGTCTAGGAGAGAGGGAAAGTGAAGGGACTAGGGAAATAAAATGATTGCTGAGGAGCATGAATCGATGTGAATCTGAGTAGCATTGTTGAGCATTTTTCCCTGGCTGTGTTCAGCTGCATGGGTGGTAGAGACGCAGACCAGGTGGAGAACTAGATTTACCCAGAGCTGCAGTCTTGCCGAGTGAGTGTGAAGAAGCCATAGTGGGACAAAGGAAGGTGGATGCAAGGAAGTGGTTTATAATGACTGCAGAATTTCACTTGAGCAAGGCAGGCAGACGACATGAGGATGAAGGACAGAGAGAAAAGGAGGTGGAATCAGCGACGTGTAGATCCTGGGGAATCGAAGGATTCCGAGAGTGCTGGTATCAGAGACAGCAAGCCGGAAGGAGAAGAGGAACAGTCCAAGAGTGGGGTGTGTAAGGTCGAGATTAGGGCTGGTTGCTGGTTGTTGGCAATGACCGAGTCCAGACCAGGTCTCTGAGTGGTCAAGGTGAGAAGTTCAAAGAACTGAGAGGCCGAGGTGTTGGAAGGGTATTTGTAGGCCAGGGAAGATTATTTTGTCAGTAGAAAGCATATGTTAGCAGACTTAGTGCAAAGTTGAGCTAAATATTAAACAGCATAACAAGTGTCCTCTGGAAGCTTACAGACTGTGATGTTTAATTATGGGACACAGTAATATTCAGTTGTGTAGGTTTTATACAACATACTAAAAGCGGAATGAATTCCATAAATATCTCTTTATAACATAGTAAGAAGTCATTGACATTCATTTGTGAATAAAAGCAATCATTATTCTGTAAAACAGACCCATTCTTCACAATTATAGTTCCATCCCAGTTCTAGTCAGAAACATTGACTAAGATGCCCTCTCAGCCACGTATATGTACATTTGTAAAAATAAGCAGGAGAGCAAGTTAATAGTGTGTATAGCTACATGAAACTTCAGACCTCAGAGATTCACCGCCATCTCAACCCTGAGGCTCTTTGCTGAGGCGTGTCTACTTCTCCCACTGGGACAGGATGCTTACCAGGAGGCACTGTGTTTGTTTTCAGACCTGTTTAGGCCAGTGGCCTTGTTATTATAATTGTGCACATCAATTAAAATATTACATACACCCATGAAATATGAATGAGGAAATGAAGAGAGTTGTTTTTCTATGACCTGAGGTAAATGTTTCGGGAAGATTCCGGAAGAACAAATTGCTTTATATTTTTTCTGTCTAAACTAGGGCAGAACTAGCAACTGTAAAATACCTGGGGGTCATAATCCAGGATTCTCTACTGATGTTCTACAAGTTTTTGCTCTTCTTCAAAGAAATGGAAACTCTAAGTAGTAGATGCATTTGGTTGTGATTTGCTTAAGAATGCCAATCAGCTAACTCCTACCAAAAAAAAAAAAAAAAAGCATGGTCCTGCATCAGAAATTAGTGAATTAATGTATTTATTTGTTTTATTTTTTATTTTATTTATTTATTTATTTATTTATTTGACAGAGAGAGACACAG